AATAAATATTTTGGTCAATCATGGTCATCATCAATAGATAATATGTTATCACCATGTGAAACAACACATACATCATCATCATATAGTAGTTCATCACCTCCAACACAACAATATACACCTTGTAATTCAAAATTATTAATAAATAATGATATAAAAGTTAGATTAATTCGATTTTTTTTTAATAAGTATATATATATTTATTTAGAGTTTAACTAGAGAAATTTCACAATCAGATCAACATGATGAAATAACAGAATCAACAACAGATTCATGTAAAATAATTATTTGTTTGAAAAAATTATTTATAAAGTTTTTTTTCTATTTTAGCTGAACCACCGAATAATTTTGATTGGTCAGTTCGTAGTTCAACAATAAGTTTTAAGTAATTTATTGAATCTTATAACTTTCTTTTTTTTTAAATTGTTTATTTTAGTTTACAAGAATCATCAGCTGAAGCAATAGGTATATTAGAATTAAGTTATTTTCTTTTTTTTCTATGATTTTGTTTAGCATTAGCATTAATGGAAACATGGAAAAATTTTAAAGTTCCAACAGCACCTGAACTATTTTGGATGATTCCACATGATGAAGATCTACCACAAGAGGTAAAAATCATAGAAAAAAAAACAAAAAAAAAATGTCTTTAGTTTGTATTGTAAAAGTAAAAAATTTCCTTATTCTCTTTTTAAAGTTTTTACCCCTTCCAGATGGAATTTCAATTGATCCTAGTGAAGACTATCTTTCAAATGAAGATGGTCAAAGGGTAAATTATTTTCTAATAAATATAATTTATATTTCTACTATTGCTAAAATATACTTAGTAAAATGAAATATGATTAGTATTCATTGAAAAACACAAAAATCAATAGACTTTATTGTAAATAATATCAACAACGGCTCGTCGTAATGGTTTAACTACTTATTATATTTCTGAAGGATTTAATAAAAAAAAAAAAAAGAAATCACATATTAATCCTGTAGGGATTATGTTAATAGCTTTTATGCTTGAGTTATTTGTAATACAATAAAGTCTATTGACTTTTTCAATGAAGATTAATTCAATAGAGAAAATTATATATGATTTAACCCTTTACCACCCATAGCGGTTCTAGAAGAGCTACTGATAAAATAACTTTATAAATAGAGTATTAGCCTGTCGAATATGCCAATGGTGTAGCCTAATCCACCGAATATCCTGTTTCTGAAGTTGGACGGTTTGATTAATATAAAAATCATGTGATGAAAAATGAGAATTGAATGACATCGAAAGACTTTATTTTTTTTTTCTTTGACCTCATTATTGACTCGACAGAAACAGCACCTATCTCGTACTGTTGAAGTGATAGGAAACAGAGATGAGCAAAATCGCACCGCGCCTCCCCGCGCCACTGCTCGCGCCTAGGCGCTACACACATCTCTCTTTCTCTTTGCTCTACCAATCAGTTTCTCAAACTCCACCGAATACCGGGATGCTCTAAGCATGCGCTCATCAAAGCTCAGACTAGTGTAGCGTAGGCGTGAGCAACGGCGCGGGGAAGCGAGGGGAGGCGCGGTGCGACTTTGCTCATCTCTGATAGGAAAATCGCAACGAGTGAACCGATAAAAATTAACATAAAAGAATGAATGCTTTTTTTTACATCTATTGTCAAATTTAAACCTATTTTACTCTGAGCCATTTTGTAACGTCTGGAGGAATTTAATTTATTTCGACTTCTCATGAGTTGAGGTCCATAACGCATATATTAACTTTGTTCTTGATTACTTTCCATCTGTCTAACGGTCAATTGTATTCCCTTAGTATGTATAATTCGCGAAGTTATCATGAAGCTTTCGAAACATATCTAATTCAGCAGTGGACTTCTTCATCGATTAATATCACACAGAAATTCCAAAAGATCTCTATCGACTGTAAGTGGAAAACATTTTATTGAAAAAATTTCGAATTTTTGCATAATTATTGATTTTGTAAGTCATATATCTTGAAGGCAGAGCAATGAAACAAAATATCTTTTTTTTTATCAATCGATAGCTTATAAAGTTCCCTACAAATAATGTTTTGAGAGTTTTTCAGTCTCATACTTCCTTTATTTTCTGTGATCGTTCTACAAATGGATCATATATGACCTATTCGGGGGTAAAGGGTTAAGTTAATGAGTACTGCTTTACTTTTTATGATTTCAAAAACAAAAAACAATTATTTTTTTTAAAGATTCTATGTCGTGGTAATAGTCAATGGGCACCACCTCGTGAACAATTAATCTTTCATATTCATCAACCTCCAAAGTACATATATATAAAAGATAACTTCAAATTTGATGAAAAACATAATTACCTTTGTTTTTTTAATGTTTAGTCGTGATTCTCAATTAAGAAAACAAGGTTATCTATGTGCTGGTTGTGGACGTCATGTTGAAAAAGGTTTTGCACATCGTTATAGATATTGTGAATATACAGGTTATACTTTGAAAAAAAAAAGCTTAAATAAATAAATAATTTTTATATTAATATTTAAGGAAAATATTTTTGTCGTAGTTGTCATTCTGATAAAAAATTATTTTTACCATCATATATAATAACAAAATGGGATTTTTCAAGCAAACATAGTGTATCAAATTTTGCATTTGATTATTTAAATCGTATTTATAGTGATCCAACATTTAATTTAAATGATCTTAATTCAAAATTATATGAAAAAAGTAAACAATTAAGATTAATAGATGAATTACGTTGGTCACTTTTTTATCTTCGTCATTATATTTTAACATGTCGTTTTGCTAAAGAAAAAAAGTAAGAAAATAAATAAATAAATAAATCTCCGGTTTTCTTTTTTTCAATTATTCGAAACTAAAAAATTTTTCTGTTTTTTTTTTCGTATAGTCTTCAACAAATATTACAAAAATTACCAACATATATGTATACAGATCCATATATATATTCTATACAAGATTTATTTAAAGTAAATTTATTTTAACATTAAAATAAAAAAAAAAAAAAAAGAATTTTTTTGTTTAGACAAAATCAGGTGATTTAATAAAGGTGCTTGAACCAATTGTAATTAATTTACGTGAACATGTATTAACATGTCCATTATGTTATGCAAAAGGATTTATATGTGAAATATGTATGAATGATAAAGATATTATTTTTCCATTTGATTTAGATATAACAAGTGTTTGTCCAGGTTAAATTTTTTTGAAAAATTTACAATAATATAATAACAATGATATTTTTTTTAGTATGTCAATCATGCTTCCATTTTCAATGTCATGAAAATAAACAATATCATTGTCCGAAATGCCAAAGAAACAAAAGCAGAAAGTAAGAAAAAACAAAAATATATATATTCTATTTTTTAATGATCCATAACAAATAATAAATGATCAATAAGAATAATATTAGATCGTTCCTGAAAGTGCTTTTATAATAGATAGGATTCTTAGTATACCAAAACTACTTATGATATGTAATTTACAGATCATTAACAAAGTATCAAACCTGTTTTCTTTTTTTTAATAAGACAATGATAGATTGATGTTAATCGTTTCTTTCATGGAATAAATTACCGTTGATAATTTTGTTTCAATTTAAGAAGAATTTAATTATAATCGTTATATATTCATAGTTTTCTGATAGCTATAATTTATAAAATCTCTTCCGTTATACGTACATGTAGATAAGTGTTCGTTTTGAAATATATTTTATGAATATATCTATCATTGTAAAATGAAATGTATTGGATTCCATCCGATTGTCTAACCAACTTGTTACACAATAATAGCATAAAACTTCTATCGTCCTAATATACTCATGATCATTTTCTTTTGTATAGTATAAATATCTTGCAATATTACGCTATATAGCCACTATTGTAAACCATAGGGATCAAACGTTAATTCCAATTGAGATAATTTTAAGTATTATTTTCTTTTATTATATATATTGGGGGGAAAAAAATCACACAATTCATATTGATTTATCATTGAATTGAAATTCACTAGAGAATTCTTGAAAATTGATATGATATTACAATAAAAAAAAAGAGAACTAACAGTGTTTTTTTTATTTCTATTTTAGTAGTCTAACTGCATCAAATCGTAGCAATACACCAACAAATATTCAACAAGAAGATGATATAATAACATAAAATTTTCAGAAAATGAAAACCAAAAAAACAAAGTGTTTAATTTTTTTTATTTTTCTGAATAAAAAACTGTCTTTCATAAATATTTATCTTGTTACTTTTTTTTTTTTTTTAATCTAATAATATTTTATTTTTCTTTTCCGGTTATTTCTTTTTTTGTTAAAAATTCAAGTGTATATATATATATATTTATTTGCTAGATAATATTACATGCATGTCAAAAACACAAAAGAAAACTAAATCTATTTAATGTATTTTTTTTTTTTTATTTTTATTTCTTATTAATATACTAATGACATTATAACCAGCACACAGATATTCATCATTTTTTGAATAAAAAAAAACGAATATCAATGAACAAGAATCAATTTATTAGTTCTGATGAGAAAAGAATTTTGCTTGATTATGGTTGATGTATCTCTTCATTCTATAGCAATTTGTTTGTAGTTCGCCTCCTTTCTTTCTTTCTTTCGTTCGTTCGTTCGTTCTTTTTTTTTTTTTCTTTGGCAGTAACCACCTTCCTACAGTATTACACAAATAATAGTCCCATATATATCTTCATAGACAAATGCGACCGAAGACATTAATTGATCGTTGCTCGATGACAAGCGAACGAGCATTGAGAGTGTCGAGCTCGCATAATCGATAACGAAGAAAAGCATAAGACAAAGCATCATCTCCGTAAGTTCTTTCAAGAAAATCCATATCATCAATAACTGAGAAGAGAAAAAAAAAAGAAGAAGAAGAAGATCGAACGATTTTATTCTATATTATCATTTTTATCCTTCTTTTTTTTGTTTGTTCTGTTTTTTTTTTTATTTTAATAAATAGTATAACAAATGATTAAAAATTTAATAAAATGAGTGCAAGTCGATATGCAGTTGTTCGACGTCTTAGTCGAGTACTTCTATTACCATTACATGGTCATACTACGACTAATGATAGGTAAGAATTTCTAAATCTATTTTATTCTTAGGAAATTCTCTTTTTTTTTTGTATGTTGTCATAAGAATTTTTTTTTTACTTGTCATACGAATGAATAATGATCCGTGCCGACAATAAACAGCTTTTGTGATCTCAATAGTATACAATGTGTATACATTCTCATTTAGAACCGAGAAAGAAAAAAACAAAAAGACTTCCTTCAATCTATCAATGTTATAAGACTAACGATGAGCATACCGAACCAATCGAGTTTCAGAATAAGAAACGACTAAGAATAAAGAATAAAAAAAAAGAAAAAAAAAGAGATTGATGAATGATTAAATAGAACATTTGCTTTTTGTTCATGTTAAATAACACTTGTATATTATTACTTATAGACAAACTAAACTAAGTAAGTATTAATAATGTTATTTTAATGTTTGTCTTTGTTTTTTTTTATACAATTCATTAGAAAGTTTAATTATTTTATTGAAATAATAATATTTATTATATTATCGTTTCATTAATTAATTGCGTTTCTTTTTTTTTTTGTTTTTGTATAGATCTATGCATATATATATAAGGTTAAAGACAAAAGCACTTGACCTCTGAAAATTAATCATTAGTTAATTGATATAAACACATACATAAATAAACAGATTTTTTATAATAATTTTTTAGTTCATAAACATAAAAGAAGAATTATTCTATGTAATCTTTTCATCTCGTTTTTTTTTTTTATTATCGATAATATTCTTCATTATGAAATCATTCTCATATTTTTCTATATAACTATCTTCAAAAAACAAAAACAAAAAAAATCAATCTTCTAAAGAATGATAGTGATTACCAGCTTGCGCTTGACTGCTAACTTTGCTCTCGTTATGTAAGTTATCAGTACAATTTTTCTTTCCGTACTTGTATGCACTGTGCTTTGCTTGTACATGCATACAAAAAAAGTAAATGAGACATAAAGTAGTGTCATCTCTATAAGGTTTCAGGCCAATGCATTCACTAGGATAGCTCTCTGTTTCTGCACATATTGCCACTAGAAAAATAAAGTATAATTAGTGATGGCAACTAAAGCATCGGATGAATGAACACAATTAATTGAATTGATTGATTGATTGCTTACATATTTTTTGTACTGTTTTTTGACATAAAGAAAAATATGTTGATAGATTGATTATCACAAATTGTATTTGTCAAAAACTATTCTTTCGACATACAATACTTATTTTGAATATATTTCTTTATCTTTTCTTATAAGACAAAAAAAAGAAAATGTTGAAGATCAGCTGATCTATCATATTACTAATTCAATTAACATAACAATAATTTGTTGTTTTTTTTCTATAAGTTTTTTTAACATTTATTTTTATCAATAAGTTGTTATATAAAAGCTATTAGGTAGATACAAAAATTATTATTTATTATATTCGTGTCGTTCGTTCATCGCAAATGATCCATAGGGTATTCGGACATTTTCTTTTTCTTTTTTTTTTTATTTATCACACATATTTCTCTCGGTTTTCATTAATATAATTAATGAAATATTTTTCTTTTTCAACACGAGGAACACAAAAATGATGAACTAATCATAGAGTTATCTGTCATGTAAACCATTACTCTTTTACTATGATAAATTTGAACATTACGTTGTCTAACGTATATATGATGGAAATAACTAGATGTTTATATTTGAGTAGATTCATCATCAGCACGTCGTATGATTATTGTTCGACAGTATAAAGAGGAACCGACAAATTTCAATAAAAAACATTAAATACTGAAAAAAGAAAAGAAAAATCTTTAGCAATTATCAACTATTGATACATTTGTTTCAACGATAAAAAAAAAAGAAAGAAAACCTCGGAAATCACTATTCAAGTAGGTTCGAAAGGCAATAGAAGAAAATTTTTCTTTCGTCGTCGATATTTTTGTTTATTTTGTATGATGATATTAAAAGAAAAACTTATACATTTGTCATTATATCTTTAATTATAAACAAATTGACTGGAAGTTTCACTGCATGTCATCTAACTAATTGCATGAAAAGAAAATCGAGACGATAAAGAACTGTTAGATCCATATATGTATATATTTAAGGATAAATGTGTCAATCCTAATATTATTACTATTATTGAATAATAAAAAAAAAAATCAATAAAGTACATCAACTTTCTTCTTATATGTAAGTATTTGAGTACATTCACGTAGTCATTTCATCTCCAGATGATGATGATTTCCGGTAGAGTAACATATAACAATAGGTTGATGGTTCGCTTGATAACACATTTCTTTCTTTTTTTTTTCCCGTGCATATGTTCGGAGATGTTAGCAGTACGCTATGTACGCATACAATTGAATGTCGATCAAACGAGTAATAAAAACATCAGTGGTGTCTACTTCTATCTCTTTTTCCATATCGTGGATTGATGATGTAGTCTTATTCTATATTGATTAGAAAAGAAGGTACCGACCTAGTTCGGGTTTTTTTTTTCTCCTGTATATCTTATGTATTTCCATACTTTATGGATATTGAATTGTATCCATCTGCATATTGATCTTGTTGTTCTTGAGCGTCCCAAAAGAAAACATTGATTTTTTATGAATACTAAATAATCGAAAAATAATGCATTCTAGTAAGATTTTTATTGTTTATTAATCGATAATACTTTCATCGAAGTATGCACAATTATTTATTTAGATTCTTTTTTTTTGTGTTGTTTTGTTTGTCTTAATATCTACTTTAAAATAGTATTTGTATATTTTTTTATTTAGTATGCGTCGTCGAAAATTTAAAGATTCATCTTTACATGATGATCAACGAATATGTACAAAAGAAAATTGTTTAACATGTTGTAAAAAATTTACTGCATTTATGTTTTCACGTGTTGGTCTATTTCTTGTTATGATTGGTTATGTTGCATTAGGTGGTTGGTTATTTCAAACATTGGAAGCTCGTAATGAACAAGATATGCGTCGTTCAATGAATGAAAAACTTAATACAACACTTTATAAATTATGGGAAGAAATTTTACGTGTTAATTCATATCCATATCATGATAAAAAAGGAAATTTTACATTAAATGCAACACAAGAACTTGAAAAATTTGAAATAACAGTTATACAACAAGTACAACAAGGTTTTGATGGACGAACAAGACCAGGTGCTGATCCAGATTGGAATTTTTTTGGAGCAATACTTTATGCTGTTACACTTATATCAACTATAGGTAAAAATTAAGAAAATATAACAAAAAATAAAAAAAAAAACATCACAATGAAATTTTATTTTAAAAAAAAAATAAAGGTTATGGTCATATAACAACAAAAACTGTAGCAGGAAAAATTGCTACTGTACTTTACAGTGCATTTGGTGTACCATTAATGATGCTTTTTGTTGCAAATATTGGTTCAACAATGGCAAAATTATTTGCTTTTGTATTTAGTCGTATAAAAAAAATTTTTTGTTGTCAATGGAAAAATAAAAAAAAACGAACAAATATAAAAAAATTTCAACAAAAAAATAATCAAATATCAATTAAAATTGATGAAAAAAAATCAAATTTAAAACGAATTAAAAATGATCATGATACAGTAGAAAAAAGTAAACAAAAAAAAATTCTTTTTTTGGTTTGATTTTTATCAAAAATTTTCTTTAGCTTTAATTGATAATAATATTGATCAAACATCAAATATTAATTCACCTTCTGAACATAAGAAAATTTCAATAACAGATACAAAAGAATTACCAGCTGATATTCGTTTAGATATGTTAACAGGAGTTTCAATAAATAAGACAAAATCTCATTCATTAACATCATCACCAAATATAATTGATGAACGATCAAAAGATGCACTTGTTCGTATTAATGAACTTATTCGTCAAAATTCCGTCCATGATGATGATGAAAATAAAATTAATGATAATGATAATGTTTTATTAACATCAACTAATCAAAATGAACAACAAATATCTAATAATATGAGTTCAATACAATTTTATATTGATGAAACAAATAAATTAACAAATAATTTAGAAAATTCACTTAATGATCAAAATATTATAAAATTACAAAAAAAAGAAAAATTAGATAATACAAATATTCAACAAGTAAATAATTGTTTTTTTTTTTTTGTTTCTTTTGTAAACAACAATAAGCAACTATGGAAAAATTTAAAAAACAAAATATAGTTAAATTAATAAAAATTTATTTTCGTATTAATCAAGTCACTATATTTAGACGCAAAAAAAAAGTAATTCCTTTTGATACAATAGTTATACAGATGTACGAAACAAGAACTTAGGTACATTCTAGTACTTAAAACTCAATAAATATCAAAACAAAATGACGTTATGTATCATCTTTTCCAGATACATAATAAGTACAAAAAAACAAAATATGATAATAGGAATACCGTTTGTTAGAATATTCTTTAGAGTAGATTATTTGTAGAACAAGATTGTTATGTAGACAATAACACATTACAATACACATCAACTAAATGAGGTGTTGATATTTCATAAGTTATTCTTTCAACACTTCTATTGTTTCTTTTGGATTCGGACTCAATACTTCATATTCCTGATTTCAAGTAAATTTTTTAAAATCAAACTCTTCAAATCACACGAAATATATGAGATACTTTTTATTAACACATTTTTCAAACAATATTGATCATGATGTTTATAAAAATCAAAACATTATGAACTATTACCGATGAATCTTGAAATTTACAAAAAAATTCAAATTTTTATTTTTGATAATTAATGTCCGCGCCAGAATTAAAGGGGGGTTAGTGTAAATTGAATAACTCAACAAGGGCAACAGCTAGGGACCTACGGTTTTCACCATTCGAAAGAGGAAACCGGGGGACGTATTTTTTCACGATATTGTTTCGGACAAAATTGCTTTGGACACTGTCATTTCTGAGAAGACGTACAAATGGTATGCCAATACAATGACTTTTTATTTTGATATTCTCATTAGATAGAGGGACTTCAGATCTATAGTTCAAGATACAATGCAAATGGTTCTCTTATTATATTCTAACGTTGAGCAAATGGAATCATGTATTTACATGCGCAAATAATAGAGAATTTTGCTGATTTTTTGCTAAGTTTTCGCACTTTTTATCCTAATAGCTTGACATTTCGATGAAAATGAAATGAAAAGTAAGAAAGCGCATTGTATTTAGAACTATAGATCTGAAGTCCCTCTATCTAATGAGAATATCAAAATAAAAATTCATTGTATTGGCATACCATTTGTACGTCTTCTCAGAAAAGACTTTCAGAAAAGACAGTGTCCAAAGCAATTTTGTCCGAAACAATATCGTGAAAAAATACGTCCCCCGGTTTCCTCTTTCGAGTGGTGAAAACCGCAAGTCCCTAGCTGTTGCCCTTGTTGAGTTATTCAATTTACACTAACCCCTCTTTAATTCTGGCGCGGACATTAAAAGATAAGATCTTATTTAGGGGTCGACAAGCTCAGCTCAGAGGAACTATTCGAACAGATCTTTTGAGCTGAGCTGAACTGATGAACCGATTTGTTTGAGCTGTGTTCCCAAAACAGAACACTTTTGTTCCATTTTCGGGAAATAATTCCCATAAAAGAACAAAAGTGTTCTGCTTTGGGAACACAGCTCAGCTCAAAAGAGCTGTTCTGACAGTTCCTCTGAGCGAAACTGAGCTGAGCTTGTCGACCCCTAATCTTGTTAATTAATTAAACACTAATATATGTCAAAGATGAAATCCTAATATTTATTTATTTATAGGATATTATTTCTGAGATTCCTTCTATTACTATAACAACCAATGATGATATAAATAAAAATTCAATTGAAATAGATAATACAATAAAAAAATCTTCAAAACAAAAATTAAAACGTTCAAAATCTGAATCAACACATAATCGTAAATCACATATAAAAATAAATAATAATAATAATGAAATAAATAAATCTTCTCGTCGACGATTTTTTTTATATAAAAAAAAAAAAGAATCAAAAAAAATAAATGAAAATAATTCATTAGAACAAGAAATAAATCAAACAACAACTAGAAAATTATCACAAAAATCTCAAAGTTTTGATGAAAATTTACGTTCATTATCACCTCCACCAAATTATGAAGAATCTACTATACATAATATAACATCATTACCAATGGTAACATGGAAACCTGATAATGAATTACATTCGACAAAAATTCCATTTAATAATCATATTGAAATTGATGATGATAATAATGATGAATTATATGAAGATGAACAAATGAGTGTACCATTACTTGTTACTGTTTTTGTCATTCCGCTTTATTTAACACTTGGCGCTATATTATTTAATATATGGGAACATTGGGGTTTTCTTAATTCATTTTATTTTTGTTTTACAACATTAACAACAATTGGTTTTGGAGATTATGTACCTGGTGCATCAATAACGGTTTCTGCTGCTAAAGAAAAACTTATATCAGCTTCATTGTATATTTTACTTGGTCTTGTACTTATTGCAATGTGTTTTAATTTAATGAAAGAACAATTAAGTCAAAAAGTTAAACAAATTGCTAGTAAATGGGGAATTTTACAAATATAGGAACATTTCTTCGCTTTTTTTTTCTTTTTGTTGTTGTTTTGTTTCTTAATGAATATATCAGCGAAGTTTTTTTTTTTTTTCTTCTTCTTCTTCGTTTTATTTGTATCTTTATAGTGCATAAAGAATAACATGATTAATAAAAATTTCGAGAATGACTTAATTTAGTTTTTCTTTTTCTTTTTTTTTTGTTTTCATTCAATAAAACCAAATAAATTCAATTAAGATGAAATACTTATTTTATGTAAAATCCATGGATTATAATAACTAACATATGCATAAATATCAGAAAAATTTGTTTGATAACCACAATCAACTGTTCCAGACATAATACCAACTTGTTGCCAATAAACATTACCATTTTTATGAACAATTGATCGAACTAATGGACCACCACTATCACCAAAACATACAGCTTTTGGTGGAAAACCAGCACACATTTGTCCTAATCGAGTACTATCACCACTACCAGTTAATGATTCACATGATGAATGTGTACGTGGTACAAATTGTAAACGTACTTGTTGTAATTCATTTGGTCTTGTACGATTAACACTTTCCATAGCACCCCAACCTGTAGCAATAAGTTGTTGACCTTCAATTAATTCTTGATCAGTCATATCTTTTGGTGCAATACAAGCAAGACTAACTTGATTATCTAAAGAAATGGATGTACGTAAACGAATAACTGCAATATCATCATTAAGAGTTACATCATCATAAGATTCATGAACATAAATACGTTCAGCCATATATGCTAAACGTGGGGACCATGAACTAATATTAAAAAGGTGAAGACGAGCAATTACACCAATATATCGAGGTGATGAACCAAAAACACAATGTGCAGCAGTAAGAACATGTTGTGTTGTTATAAGACTAGCACCACAATATGATCTAGGTATACCTTGAGAAGTAAAAACAATTAGAAGTAATTGCCATGGCCATGAATTTGGTATTGCTGCTTCACCATTAACAATTTTTGATGTTATTTGTGGACTTATAGCTGGACAACCACATTTACATGGTTCAGGAAGAGTATCTATTAATTGATTTTCATTATTAGTAGAACTTTTAGTTGGTTTTCCAATTGTAAATAGTAGTGCAATACTAATAGTTAATGTTATAACCATTATTATTACGAAAACTAATAAAGCAATAGTTAATTTTGGTGAAATTAGATTTGTCATTTGTGGTGGATTAGATGTAAATGGTCGTACAGCCATTATGTTTGAGAAACAAAAAACAAAAGTATTGAATGTTTCTTTTTTTCTTGGTTTACAAGAGATATAAATACAGTAATTGAAATAAATCATTATTAAGTATCAAAGTTTTAAGGTGACCTTTTTTTTTTATTACATTGTATGATGAATAATGATCAAAAGATAAAAATGTCAACTTATTGAAATATCGACATCATATAAATTCTTGTTTTGTACAAGATAAAGAATTCTTTATGTATTTATTTTATATGTGATTTTGATATTCATAAGAAAACAAAAAAAAAACCTTTTTAACAAGGTCAAAGATGAAAAAATGGAAAGACCTTATTTCAAAAAAAAAAATTATGCAAATTTTATATCTATTTGTTTTTTTTTATTCTGTCTAAGAGAAGTTTTAATAGACTGAATTAAAATTTTTTTAAAGATGTTACGTATGTCGACTTTTTCGACAATTTCATGTAATTCTTTTATTGACTACAATAGATATCCTATATTAAAGGAAATATTCTTGCTTCAACATTGATGAATAATCATATGTTAATACTAGTGGCGAAGCCAGAGTTTTCTCTTGAGAGCATAGACCCTAAATGAAAACTTATGGGTATTGATATTTGACTCACAGGATAAGTTTCTATCAATTAGCATTTTCCTGAGCCTCACCCTGGAAAATATTTCATAATCTTGATGATGTCTCATTTTCAAGAATGCCATCGAAAGCTACATTAGATTTTATCAATAGATTTCAAATTTTGTTTAAAAAACTTCATCTGTTCAGAAGTTATGGTGTTTTGAATTTGTGGGAAAGTTTTTTCGAAACGTTCTGTGCATTAAAAATGTCCTAGAATCTAGATGGATGAATTTTTTTAAACGAAATTTGAAATCTATCGATAAAATCTAATGTAGCTTTCGATAGCATTCTTAAAAATGAAACATCATCAAGATCATGAAATATTTTCCGGGGTGGGGCTCAGGAAAATGCTAATTGATAGAAACTCATCCTGTGAGTTAAATATCAATACCCATAAGTTTTCATTTGGGACCCATGCTCTCAAGAGAAAATCCAGGATACTGAAAAATCCTGGCTCCATCACTAGTTAATACTATATTTTCATATCTCGTATTATTCATAAACATTTACTAGCGCCATCTATATCGATTTGGTGGGTGATATAGGATCGTAACTGAAGATTGGTGAAAGCATAATGTGCATTGCGAAATAAACAATTTCAGTTCAAAGAAAGACAAAAGATTTGAGCGATTGTATAGTGTTTATTAAATTATCTGTTTTTTTTTTATTCATTATCATATTGAATCATGCTTGTTTTATTTGAAACATCTGCTGGCTATGCCATGTTTAAAGTTCGTTTTTTTTATTGTTTAGTTTGTTCTTTTTGTAATTTCAATATTGTTTTTGTTTTTAATTTTTCAGTTACTTGATGAAAAAAAATTACAAGAAACTAAAAATTTATATCTTGATTTTGAATCACCAGAAAAAGCTGCTAATATGTATAATTTGTTTTTTTTTTTATTATTTTTAATTGATTGATTGATATTTTATTTTCTATTAGTTTAAAATTAATTCATTTTGAAAAATTTGAAGATACAACACAAGCACTTGCTGCAGCAACAGCAACTGTTGAAGGAAAAATTTCTAAACCATTAAAAAAATTACTTAAACGTCTTGTTGATCCAGATGTTCAAGAAAAATTACTTGTTGCCGATTCAACACTTGGCAAAGCTATTAAAGTTTATTTATGAAATAATTTTTTGTTTTTTTATATATGTATATTTTTAGGAAAAATTTAGTTTCGATTGTATATGTAATAGTTCTGTACAAGATCTTATGCGTGTTATTCGTTCACAAGCTGATAGTCTTATACAAATTGATGAAAAAGAATTAGCTGCTATGCGTATTGGTCTGGCACATAGGTATTTAAAAAAAAACAGAGTTAACTCAATGAACTTTAAGTTTGAATTTCAAAACTAAACAAAAAAAATTAACGAAGGGATATAACCTATGGAAACAAGCAGTGTTTCATCCAGAGGGAGCGCT